CCTTGTGCCTCTACCACCCACCACAGTGCGGACAGCACCCTCAACACGGGCCACGTGGGGACTGGCTGCCCTGCCTCAGGGTCGTTCTTCCAACACAGCGAGGGCACTCCTCCTGGGGCTCCGCTCCTGGGGGCCAGTCGGGAACCTCTCAGAGCCAAAGCAGGACCTGGGGGCAAGTGTGCCGGAGTCCGATGCCGAAGCCCTCCCTCCCCGTCCTGTCCTCATCCTCTGCCCCGAGTGGCCACTCCACCTCCAGTCACTCAACGGCTTCCAGGTGGGAGTCGCCCAGGGGCAACCACAGCCTTGAGTTTGGCCAAGGAGGTGATTAAACAGCTCAGCTTCTCTTCTTGACTCCAGGTGTCCTTCCTGCCAACGACCAGGGACTCCCCTTTGGCTCCAGTTTTGCATGTCATTTTCTGCTCTGCCCGCAGCCTCCAGGCCCTCAGACCACCTCCCTGTTTTGGACTCCTGTCCCCATGACGATGACCCCCTTTTCTGGGTTGATCAGGTCCCAGCATCTTCTTAGATCAAACAAGTTCCATACAGGTCGGGAGACTGCCCGCAAGCAGTGTTAATGCTGACAAAAAGCACTCGACTGCTGCTTCCTGTGTGCACAACTTTCTTCACACTAGAGCCTCCACTGTTTTCGAAAATGAACCCCAAAAACCCGGCTCCTCTACTGTGATGTTCAGTGTGCACATCCTCCTGGGTGTAAGGCAGCAAGTGCAGAGCGTGCGACAGCCTGGTGGCTGCCTCGCTCCGCTTGACAGTGGGGAACTGAACACACAGGGTGGGCCTGCTGAACAACCTGGTATAGGGCCAAGGGAGCAGCCACAAGGTTCATCCCAACATACAGAGAACATTCTAGATCTGAGGAAGTTAACGAAACAAGTAGCATCTGCCTTGTCTCCGCTTGGCAATTGGAAGTTTCCGGGTACTGGTATTTAGCCTAGCACTCTAGAGATTGATGGAAATGACCACTCATTGGTCACCTCCCACTACCGCCACCAACGTTTCCTCATCTTGCTTCAAGGGTTCAGCGATCTTTCTCAGAAAGTTGCCTCCATCTTTGATGAAACGAGCCAGGTGTCCTGGCTGTCCAGCCCCTTGACTGCCCATCACCAGTCTTGACAGAAATAGACCGGTCAGGTGTGGGCAGGCCCAGGGCTAGAACAACACAACCCCAGAATTCAGTCTGGAATAGCAAACAGGCATCCCTTTCTCACGTGCAGAAGCCGTCTGCAGTAAGCATGTGGACCGATGTTACAGGCACGCTCTGTCATGGAACCGAATGGAATACTTCACTGGCTTAACCAAGACAGGTTCGCAAACACGAGAGAACCCCTTAATGAGACACATTGGCCGGCACAACAATAAAAGCAGTGATGCAAACATCCCACCAGTCACGAAGATGCCGTGTGCGGGACCTCCCCCCAGCAATATTTTGTTCTGTTACATGAATGGGTCAACTCCATGGCCCCTCACAACACTGACAACATATATTGACTTACAAGTGAACCCGACTGGTGTCGTGGTTATGCATTGGGCTGCTAACCACAAGGCCAGCAGTTCAAAGCCACTAACTGCTGCAAGGGAGAAAGATGGGGCTTTCTACTCTTACAAGTAGTTATAGTCTCAGAAACACAGAGGCCGTTTACCCTGTTCTGTAGATGGCAGTGAGGGGTGTGTGTGTGTGTGTGTTACATTGGGTCTCAAAGTGATTAAGCTTCGGCATTATTTTTTTAGGATTTACATGTGGCTCACACATTCCCATTGAACAGCATGGTCCCGAATGGATGAAAGCCTTGATGAACAAAGCCTTTAGACGACATAGACTATCGTGTCTCAGGCTTAGAGGAGGGCACCTTAGACAATATTCCAAAGAACAGATTTGTAAGGCAAAAAGTATATCAAATTAAGGTTCTCTACTTAATGATACCAAAATTATGTGGACAAAATAACATACTAAGAAACATCAAGAATATATAGGAAAATCCCATAAATCAACAACAGCCTAAAAAAATGGGCAAAGGATAGGACCATAATTCTTATTTTTTAACTTTTAGGAATAAAAATTTTTATAGAAAACCGCTGAAGATTTAACAAGAAGACTTGGTTAAAATCATGAGCAGTCAGAAATGCAAAATAAAGCATTAGTGCAGTGGTTCTCAGCCTTCCCAATGCTGCGACCCTTTAATACAGTTCCTCATGTTGTGACCCCCCCAACCATAAAATTATTTTTGTTGCTACTTCATAACTGTAATTTTGCTATTGTTATGAATCTCTGATATGTGAGTATCTGATATGCAGGATGTATTTTCATTGTTAGAAATTGAACAAAGCATAGTGATTGTGCTTGCTTTGGCGGCACAGAGACTAAAATTGGAACGATACAGAGATTAGCCTGGCCCCTGCGCAAGGATGACACGCAAATTCATGAAGCGTTCCATATTTTTTTAATCACCTGATTAATCGTAAAACAATATGTAGTTATATATTGTGAAATAGGTGTTTTCCAATGGTCTTAGGGGAGCCCTGTGAAAGGGTCATTCGACCCACAGGTTATGAGAACCGCTGTACTAGTGGAACATTTTATACCTACCTATTAAAATAACTAGAAGCCCACAGAGGCAGCTCTACCATGTCTGATAGGGTTGTTTATTCAGAGTGCAATATCAGAACACTGGATCATGTCAAATGTGGGATACAAGAGAGGGCGGAGGCTTGTCGGGTAAGCGTTCATGGGACTCACCAGTCCAGATGGGACAGTGCACTGGACGGCTTTTTCAGAGAACAATTTGGCACAACTTAGGCAAGTTGAGCCCTGGTGATGTCGTGAATTGAAGCTAGGTTGCGAATTCCAAGGTCAGCAGTTCCAACCCATCAACCTCTCTGTGGGAGAGAGGCTTCCTGTCCCAGAAACCTGCAGGAGCGTCTCTCTGCCCGACAGGGGCTGTAGGGCAGGCAGAACACACTCAAAGGCGTGAGTCGACATGTTAATTCTAGGTTTACTTTATGAGCCAGCAACCAGGCTATTGCACCCCTGGCTTTACAACGAAATGAAAAAGCACTGCCCTTGAGGGAATTCTGATGCCGAGACCAAAAAGGACAGAGCAGACCTAGCCCATGAGTTTGCAAGGTTGATCTGCAGGGCGGCAGACTGCCACATCGTTTCAGAGTGGCTGATGGCTTTGAACTACTAGGTTAACCTAATGTTTAATCACTGCCACCAAGGCTCCATGCTGGCTTTATAACTCTCTCCCCCTCCCTCTGTCCCCAAATCTTCAGACCCGCCATTAGGGCACATGGCAGCACTATTAGCAATAGCCGTGTAATGATTTCTTTTGTAGGAATTGGTACAAAACTAGTCCCCAGGAGTTATCCACACACCAAAAAAAGCCAAGTCAACACCGTCTCATGCCAACAGGTTAGAACTGTCCCTGTGGGTTTCGGAGACTGTCCCTCTTTGGGATTAGGAATGCCTCATCTTCCTCCCAAGAAGCGGCTGGTGGTTTTGAACTGCTGACCTTGTGTTGAGTGCCAACAGGGCTCCTTAGTCCCCAGGAGTTGGTGATTGAAAAAGTCCCCAGAGTCCGATTCTTGCAGGACAAAAATTGGATCCATTTTCACCCCACTCCTCCCTTGAGTAGTTCCTCTCACATCTCTGGGTTCTGCAAATCACAGGTCCCACGGAACGCGTGGAAGTTGGAGGAAATGTCTCCCGCAGCCGTAGGTGCAGTACAATTCAAGGTCCAAAGCTCAGGCAGGGGTGGGCCAGATGCTGGAGCCAGAGGACTCCCTCCACTCCTGGCTCTTGCCGGTGATGAGATCACACTTCCTGCTTCTCCGTGGACTCATTTTATACTCGGCAGGGTGACATTGCAGGGAAACCTATGGGCAATTACTCACAGGTGAATCCTATCAGTAACCTCCGCTTCTTAGCAGACCCCTGCAAAAAAACAAAAGCAAAGCTCACTGCCATCGAGTCAATGCCGACTCTTAGTGACCCACTGTCGCAAGCCAACAGGTTGAGTGACCACTCTCACCCCCAAGTTCCAATTCAGAGTCTTTATTTATTTATTTATTTTTTGTTTTTCTCTCTTTTTTTTTTTTTAACATTTTATTAGGGGCTCATACAACTGTTATCCCAATCCATACATACATCAATTGTGTAAAGCGCATTTGTACATCGTTTCTCAAAACATTTTCTCTTCACTTAAACCAGCGACATTAGGTCCTCATTTTTCCCCTCCCACCCCGCTCCCCCCTCCCTCATGAGCCCTTGATAGTTTATAAATGGGTTCAGAGTCTTTATTAACTGGCGCCAGTGGCTGCGGGATGACCAAACATCTCTCAAAACCCCAGCAGCCCCTCACTTTTGCAAGGGGTCAGCTTCTAAAGGTCAAAACCACAGCCTGGAAGACTAGTGGTAGGTCTGGTTTCTTCCTACACGGCCGTACACACGAGTTACAGAAGCCAGAACACGTGTGTGTTTACAGAAACTCAGTGGGGCCCGTTCCGGGAACAATCGAGGTGTGAAGGTCATTCTGACCCCACAGCATATTCTGAAGGACACTGACCACACAGGACATTTGAGAGCATAGGCCAGAGAAAGGTCAAGAGGAGTTTCAAACATCTTACAATGACGTTCCTTATGTCAAGTCAGCTTCTGCCTCATGAGTCTCCGAGACTGGAACTGTTGACCAGAAGAGAAAGTTCTGTCGAGCTACCGGTGGTTTCAAACTGCCAACCTTCCAGACTGCAGCCCAACTCATAGCACCAGCATTCCTGTCAGAGCCATGCAGGGAAAGCTCATTTGGTGGGAGTTACATGGTACACTCATATGTCGCCGACATGTAATCGTCTACTTTCTACCCCTGGACTCTATCTTATT